GCTCAGGCTTTTCCTCCCTCTGGCTTTAAGGTTTGCGCTATTTAAGACCAATCATGTCAATGTGGAGAAGAATTAATCCTGCTTAAAAATATATTACATGACTAGAATGTATGTTAACATCCCCCCGATTCTTTCACTGGATATAGACTTTAGTTTCGTGGAGCTGGAGATAGTTGAAGTAAATAATCATGTGGGCTAGATATCAAGAGGAGTTCATTGTCAAATTCACTTATGTACTCACAGGGGCTTGTTTTCATGTAGGTACTCTGTATCTGTCAAGCACTCCAAATCCTGGAAAAGAATCAAGGCGGGGAACAATGCAGCGTTTTAGAAGCAAGAGGAGCTCGAGCCACACAAAAAACCATGTCATGTAATTCATTGCGATAGATAGATTAACCTCAGTGCACCGCAGAGGCCTCTGCATTCTTGTCCACATTGTTCTAATGGCAGCCCCACGGTCTTTGGGAATATCCTGTGTTGTGTGCTGCTCTCTCTTTCTTTCCTCTGTGGCTACAGTTGACTGTGGGAGAGTAAATAACATTTGATATGCATAAACAGCCCCTTCCTATTCATTACTGTCAGAGCGTTGGAGTGCAGGAGGCGGAGGTCAGCATGTGAAGGTCCTCCTCAGGCAGGAGAAATGCCTGTGGTAGCTGTCACTCCTCTCCCCCACTCACCCCTCACCACCACCACAACTCAACCCCCAGCCCTCCCTCCATCACCTCCTCTTCCTCCCCCCTCCCTCCCTCCCCTATTAGCACAGGCTCCGGGTCATAACCTTTCCGTGGCATTTTGCGATTCCACAACCCTTTGATTAGTGCAATATTTACATATTTCACAGTGGAGAGGGCGTTCTTGTGTCGCAGACACTTGAAGTGTTGTAAATGTGTTTGGCCTTTTGCCTGGGAAATGCGGAGGAGTCGGACTCTCTGGTGGTAACTGTAGTCAAGGCTGCCGCACTGATATGAGCCGTAGTGTGTTTTAAGTATATTTACCCCCTCCACCGCCCACGCCAACCCAGACATTGCACATGTACAAGTGCCATTTGGTCTGCGATGTGGCCCTTATCCTCCTGAGGAAGGCCGTTTAGCAGCGATTAGAGAGGGATAGTGCTCCCTGGTGGCAGATATAGATCATGCCCTCTGACTCGGACGGTACAAAGCAGAGCTCCAGAGGGATACATGCAAAGAAGAAAAGAAGAAGTACTCCAGAGAGATGACTAGTCCATTCTTAGATGCAGCGCAAGAGAGTTAGCAGAAAGACATGGATGAAATGTGAGGTATGATCAGGGTGGGCATACACAATATAGTGTACTGTAAGAAAGGTTAGAAACTAGCCCTGTGTTGATTAGTACAGTCCATGGTCTCAGAGTCAGGTCCTTGGGGGGTTGGTTGTATCATTGTGTAGCGCTGACTTCTATTCTTAACACTACCGCAGGATGCCACCACGGTAAGAAATGTTTCAGGGTGTTTGCCATACTCCCTCAGTCAGTTATTATTGTTCTTCATTTTTTGTGAAGTGTGAGGAATAAAAAGGAATTCAGGGCCATTTGGAAGGATTTGTCTTACTAGCACTGTACCTTTTAGAGATGGCAAGGTTGGACTCGGATTCTAATCAACTTCAGATGTACTTTGTGTTTAGTATTCATTAAATTGTTAAATGTTCACCAGAAGCACACTAGCATGCTGATTTAAGCATTGAAGTTCAATTTGAGAAAGTGTGAATAGGATCTGTTTCTTTTTTTGTTCACCACTGATTGGTCAGAGGGACACACTTGACATTCTTCTTTTGTGGTTTTGAATGAATATCCCTTCAAGGATGATGTCACAGGAGTTTCATGCGCCGGAACTACACTAATCCGCTGATTCCCCCGCCTACATTGAGGGGCATTAGTCTTGTTCTACAGCTCACACTTTGAGAGTCACTTGCAAAAATGTTCATCATTGGAGCATTTGTATAAGAGCACCCCACCTCCTTAAGTTTAGGGTCCGACGTGGCCCTTTGCTGCATGCCCACTTTCTTACCTCAATGCTGTGTAAAGTTTTTTTGGTAAAGTTATGACAATTGTCCAAAATAGCCAAATATTTGTTCCATCAAATGTTTTAGGCTTTCTCAACTTGAACACACAATTATTCTGCTCAAAAACGTTTAAATGGTTATGTCATCTCTATCATAAAGAAGCTATAAACATCCCTTTAAACAGGTGGAAAACACTTTTTTGTACATGCTTACCTGTTGATATAACCGTGCGGTAACACATTTGTGACTGACAAAGGGACCAACAATAGCTTACTTTTGCCACATAAAGAAAGTGAAATAAGAAAAGCACACTATGTGTTCTTCACCCACCTTTCCATCAAATGTGAGTCAGCCTGACATTCAGCGTATTTTCCGTCTCAGTCAGTCATTCAGTCAGTCAGCTTCCCTCTGCTGTGTGACAGAAAGAAGAGATGTCAGCGAACAGGTTTTTCCAGGGAGCTCAGGGCCGTCACGTCTGCCTTCGCAGTGACTGATGAGGTTGGGAAGAGTGACGGGCAGCTGCAGTCTTTTCTCAGCCCGCGGGCCTGCCTGGCATTAACGTTATGTGCCATGTTCTCAGAGGGAACCCGTCATTCACCTGTCGCTCAAACCGACAGACAGATGGTGCACATAGACACGCAACATGAAAGAGACTGGCAAAGTAGCAACCAATCCCTAGGTGGTCCCTCGCAGTGGAAGGGTGAGGGTTTCTCATCACCGTTGCTTGGCAGCTCGACTTCAACCACACGGCCACACACGGACATCAAGGTGCCAACGGGCCCCGGACGAACATCAAAGTGGCGATCCATCAAACCTGTCACACGCTATGAAAGGGAACAGCTTGCAGTGTGGCTTATGTCTGATCTGTTTTTCACCTCATCTTCATAGATCATGACCACTTTCACTTTCTTCTGCGGGTCATTGGTATTGTGTGTCGAGCGAAATCATAGCCACAGTGTCAAAGAAAATGGAAGCCATTTTTCATGTTGACAATTTTATAATTCAAGTAGTAGCTTTTTGGAGTGCAGTTGAATTTTCGACCACATAATCAGTTAGACAACTTATATTCAAAATGTTTATTACAATACGGAACAGGATGATTTAACATATTCCCGCTAGTTAAAGCCTGCAGGTGGATGTGGGGGTGATGATGGGGCCTTGCAGTGGGTGCGCTCGGTAGATGATATGGAGAGTGATGTACTGTATGTCAGGTGTGTTTGTAGCATTGAGGTTTAAGGTTAACTGCCTTAACTCTCTTGCAGTCGTCACATCATTTGTATTACTGTTCAATAGCAAAAGGCATATCAAGCCTGTTGCAGGTCATATTTTGACGTTTGTCCTAACGGAATGAAGTGACTACTCTAGATGATAGGAAATTAGCTTCAATACTTCCTTTATAACCTACTTTAGCTTAGGAAACACTGCTCCTTGGAGAGAGAGGAGGAAAGAAGAAAGTGCTGTCCCACAATACCTTTCAGCCGCAACATTTACCATGAAACAACATTCGGCCGTTCAAGGAAACAACCGGTCGTGACAGAGAAATGCAAATCATGAAAGTTGCGGTGCTTATTAAGTATTTAACAACTTGTGCCGTAACTTCAGAAAGTGATTTGTTTTGAATGTTCAACACTATAATAATCAAAAGGAGAAATATGAACGTTATTTTTTCGCTGTAGAATGATCAAATAAAGTCAACATTTCACTGTATTTACTGAGCTGTATGGGGTTTCTTAAAAAGTTTTAAACGTGTTTGAATGGTGTGAAACACAGTGTTTATAAATACAACTGTATTTATTTTAAAATATGTTTACACAATCAAACGTATTGGGATTAGGTCCAACCTAATGAAGAATATCTTTGTCACTGTTGTCCACATTCATAAAGCCTGCATAGAACAACACCATAGCACACGGTGCAAAGTATGTGCGCTTACGGTAGTCCGCTGTACGGAAAACTGTAGTTTCCCCACAGCAGACACATTAATAATATCCGCTGGCGCGTCATAAATGTATCAGATAGTGTAAGTGCAGTCAGATTCTCTTGAAGCCCTGTCGTCTTTTCTTAAGTACTTTGAATTCTCCTAACCAATATTACTTAACCCTGTGACGTTTCACACAGAGGTTAAGGAATAGTGGTTGGGAAAAGACGATAGGAGCAGATTTTTGGACAATTCGACCGCAACCCAGGACTCACTTTGAACTGGAGCATATGCATGCTAATTCCATACCTCATATGTTATGTTCAACTTAAGTTATGTATGATACAAGATGATAAAATCCCAGTTTTTGTTATCTTCGCTGTCATCTTAACTGTGAGGGAGCAAGAAGGGTCAACTGAGTGGGACTCAACTCTTCTTCTTATGTAATGGTTAAGGGAGACACACCAAGTAGTGGATCTGTACTCTGCTGAGTGCACTTTTATGATCTTTCTATTTTTTCTTTGTAATTCCTGATGTACTTCATCCCTGCCAGTTGCCATTGTATATTTAGTTTGTTCTTAACACTGCGCAAGCATGAATATCATTACATCGGAATCGGGTCGTTAAGAGCTTCCAGTTAATCTAATCTGCCTCTGTCTGGACTGGGTAAGGAGAAAAGATACATAGGATAAACATTGAACTGTAGCTACAGTCAGGAAGAAATAGTGGATATGAATATTTAGGATTGAAATACCAGTACAGCTTGTGTGCACATTGCTGAAAGTAACATATGATGACAGCGAGCGACCATGGCGAGGATAAGCCTTGTGAGAGAAACATAAGAATGTAAAATGTGCTCAGTTCTCAGTAATCTTGTCAATATGTACAGATGTTGCACTGAACGTTTCTTTGTAAATTCCACATTGGCAGTCTGAGTAAAAGGAAAAAAATAACATTTGCAAATCTGTGAAGCTTTTTCATCTAAACCTGGATGTGTTCAGTCACAGTGGCTGAGGTAGAATTAAAACAAACAAGCAAAGGCAGATAAAACAGAGCCAACAGGTGCCATTTTGTGTGTCTTTTATTGTGGACATGACATTACATCTTTTTGAAATGATGTACAAAAGTGTAACAGAACTGAGAATGGCTCAGACGAGGTAGAGCTTTCACACCGGCTTGCTGGCATGAAAACTACACGGTATAAAAACAAAAGAACAACCCAGAAAAGAAAAAATCGAATTAAACAAACGCTGCTGTCTGCCTCTGTCCTCTAATCCTTTTTGAAGTGATAATAAATACATATCAACCAAATACACTTGGAATAATAATTTCTTCTAAGGTAAATTAATCATGAAGTTCATAACAAATAATAATTAAAAAAGCAATACGAACACAAATAATACAACTTAAGAGGCATGATAAAAACCCAACCAAAGAAAAAAGAACAACACGTGCCAGCCCCTGTGGGAGGGCAGCCATGGCTAGCTACTGAACAAACCCTACAGTTTAGTAAAGAGAAATACTAAAAACAAACTCTTACATCTTTATTATGAAAAAAAGAAGCACTGCTGCACCTAGAATTATCCAACTTTCAGTAAGGAAACAAAGCTAAAAAGCAGTGCCACACAGCCGTCACAGAACAAATCATTTGTCAATAGAAATCTATGGAAACATCCTAACAAAAAGCCTCTAAACCCCAAGTGACATTGAAGTGTGTTAGCCGGCACCATTAAAAAGACATTCTCAAAGAAACCTTAGCTAGTATTGGACAACATGAGAACGGTTAAAGCAGTAACCTAGTCTAAGTGCACTAGTAATGCCATTTGGTTTCTACCGCTGTATATAAGGGTTTGGTAAGAGTGGATTACAGATAGACAGTTTTATATTACATACACTCACTCCTGCTTCAAAGTTTTTCTAAGTCACACTTCGGAGTACAAATTCATCACTGAGGAATTAATCTTAAAGGGAATTCTGTACAACATTGGTATTAGTACTACACTACCTCGAAGGCTAGAGTGTCTATTTCAAGTATTTTCACTACCCACACCTTCAATACACACATTTGTGTATGATTAGGCATATTCAAGCACACAACGCTGTAAGCATAACTCAACAACCCACTGGAATAGCAACCATTTCATCATTAGGGAAAAACTGCTGAGGTCTTCAAATAGATGGGAAGTATAGTACTGTTTACGTTCCGATATCTTTTAACTGCTTTGATTTTTGATGTTATGCGTACAAAATGTCTCCACATTTCAACTCTTGCTGTGTAATTTCGCTTTCAACTGCCTTGCTTTCATCTCTTTTCCCCATCGTGGCAAGACCATAGACTGTATAAAAGAAGTGGACGTAGCCTCAGGGTCTGGAAAGTCAGGCATATGCAGAAGTGCCTAAACCTGCATTATGTGTAAAGACCATCAGGGGGCGAATCCACTGGCTCCAAAAGTAAGTCAAATTGTATGGAAGTCTATGAGAAAACGACCCTACCCTAATTATTTTAATTAACTAACTACCCTAATTATTTTTTTTAGGGTAGGGTATGTTCCCATTTAAAGTAAAATAAAAGATAAAGCAGAGTACTCTTTAGGGCTTGGCCACCTTGTGATACAACAACCTGTCAATCAGGATATATAGCAATGGATCATCCAAATGTAGTCACTTCTGGATCCAAAATAACTTATTGCCATGGCCTACATTTCAAACACAAGGTTTTAAACTTGAAAGGGGGGGACTATTTAGAAAGGGGTGGCTAAATACTTATTTTATACATGATATGGTCAATGCATGGCTTTCTCAAAAATGTGGAGGATGTTGAAGAGATACAAAACAAGCCCAGGACATAAAGAGAGCATCTCCTCCTACTCCACCAGCCAATAAACTAAACACACTTCCATTGCAGAGGAGGTAGGCTAGTATAGAAAGCATCTAGAGGAAGGCTGGAGTACACAGAAGTGACAAGTCAACCTCTTATACAGTACAGAGAGGACTGAGAATGCACATACAAACACACACACACCAATGCACACCCACCAGTGTTAAGGCTGTGACGGCTCTACAATTCAATTGACTTCAAAATGTCTCCATCTCCTGTACCTGAACTCTCTGGAAGCCTGACCTCCTGGCTTCTGGCTGCCCTCTCCCTCTTTATCTGACCTCCTCACTCTTTTCCGGCTAGAATGCAAATCTTCACATCACCCTCCAAGAGACCGACAGTGTGAGAGTTCGGCTCGTTTACTCTGCTTAAATGTTTGGTAGCAAAAGAAGCTCTGCTCTCTTGTTGTTTCAAGTTGAAAAAGGAATAGTTTGAGATATTTTCCTTCCTTTTTTTGCCGAGATTTATATGAGAAGATGAATTTTGCTTCTGAAATAGTTTCATTTGACTCATTTTGAGACCCCTGTAAAGGTAGAACTTTTCACTATGTTACAATAGTAAAAAAATGCAAACAAATAAACCTTTACTTTGTGTAGAAGATAATCTACCTAATCAGAGGAATACATTATTCCCAATATGGGCAAAACTGGCTTTTGTAAATAAATAACTTTATGAGGCATGAAAGGAAAAAATATAAACTGTTAAAGTATTCAAGATAACACAGGCTGATTAACTGATCTGCAAACAGTCTTAATGAGGGTGAAGTATTTATTTAAATATCTTGTTGCCCCTTAGGTCACATTGGTGCTAAAAACTCTGTGCCACAGGCTTTTAACCAGAGAGACTGGCTTGCTTTTGATACCAAAGCTTTAAGCCAAAAGGTCTGTGTTACCCTTTAGAAGCATGACATTAAGATGCATCTTCACTAGCTAACACGTAGCACTACCATATTCTCTTTTGTAATAGCACAAGAGTCTATTCTGTGCGATCCACAGCGAGCGAGCGTCTTCCTGTCATCCCTACTGTTTTGTAGTCGGTCTAACTCAAAGTCAGAAGTGTCGGAAACACTCCTTCATTTGATGGAGTTATGGAGGGAAACTGCCTCCACTCAGTCACTTCCTCTTAAATGGACAATAATTGAACGGCCATAAAAAATGGTACGCTCATTTATATTGGCTATTAAAAACGCACACTCTTTTTAATGAGCACTAAAGCAGACACCCCCATTAGCGTTCTCTTTCTGCCTTTAATCCTACCTCTCTCTCTCTCTCCTTCTAATCATCAGCTACACAGCCTTAGAGTGGTCACTGCACTGCTAACGTTACACTTTGGAGTGGAGGGAAGTGAGTTTAACACACTCGTGTACACACACACACACACACACACACACACACACACACACACACACACACACACACACACACACACACACACACACACACACATTCACACAGACAGATGCATGTCTAGATCTTCATAAACCCAGAGGAAGAAAGAACATGCAATGCGTCAATTGACTGTAGATCAATTGTGAAGCGTCTTCTCTCTCAACTCTGATGATTGGTGTCCTGAGGAATGCACAACCTCTTCTACAATAAAGCTAAAGCAGAAAAAGAAAGGGAAAGATAACTACAGCAGCCATGCAATGCCATAGTCCTTGATTCAAAAAGCTAGCAGTTGCATTCAAGTTCAGTTTCTCCGCTTTGTTTTATTACAACTTTGCTTTTCTTGTAAAGCTGCACAGGCTGAAATCGGTCTGTACCTCTGAAATGGCAGCAAGAGGTTACTCTTTGTGTTTTTAGGGAGTTCTATATTCAGAATTCATTTAAGGTCAACTAAACACAACCTGCTAATTGTTGTCAATCTAAAGAAGCAAAATATCGATTTCTGGTGAAGATACTGCAGAATCATTTTTTGTAAGTCGATAAGACACTCCTCAAAATTGCCTAGCACAGCTTTAACCACCTTCTTGTTTCAAATTAAAAAAAGAAAACGACTAGCCTTCATTGTAGAAAATGTGTCTAAGTTAATTAAAGGGTGATGGGTGGCAAGGAGAGGTCCATCATGAGTCTTGGGTCCAGCTTCCAGTCCTCTCATTTTTAGGAATGGTGTTTTTTTTTGGGTTGTCCCTGACTAGACTGGCCTCAGTCCAGATGGGTTACTCTTGTTGTTGTGGTGGCGTCGGTGTGTGTTTGGCAGCCAGCGCTCCTTGCTCCTCCTGGCTCAGTATTAGACTCCTTGTGTCGGGATACTGGCTGTTGTCAAAAGGCAAATGGTGGACACTCTGGACGTGTGTCTTTAGGTTCCCTTTCTGAGATGCTCGGTATGGGCAGAGCTGGCAGCAGAATGGCCTCTCCCCTGGGGAAAACACACAATACACACTTTAAGTTGAAAGGTCAGATGGTAGCCAGAAAGAACATAACACAGGGAATTTGGAGACTTTTTGAGAATACAGATTAAACAAGACAACGATGTAACACACGGATGAGTATTGCTGTAGTGCAAATGAAAAGAAAGGGGGAAAAAACAACCAAACACACAGACAAACATAAACCAAGAGACATGAAGGCATTTGGCTAGAAATAGGGCTTATTATTGGATAGGAACAGCATTCAGGGTTCATTTTTGACATCTAATTTCACTTAGAAAGTTAACTTTGCTTTTCTATCCTGACCCAGATGGACTTCCTTTCTCTTTCCCTGCCATGTGGACAGTAGCGCCACACATCCCCTGTCTGTCATTTAGTCTTTTTGTATTCCTCTCAATCACCAGGGCCACCCTATGCCCCTAATTAGACTGACCTACAATGGCACAGACACCTCGGCGGAAAAAAAAATAGGAAAAATAATTATAAAAAAATAAGCAACACACACCTGAACAAAACAAATGAGATTGCCATTTAATTGTACCTAATTATCATTTTGATAAATGGAAGAGTATCAAAGCGGGAAAACAAATGACTCCCCGTGCCCCTCCCGCACCTTTCTCCCTGAAGAAGAAACAGGGAAATATAGCTGTTATCATACATCATCAGACGGTGGAGAAAGATAGGAAAGGGGGGTGGAGATACAAAAAAAAAGAAAAAGGTATAATTAATCAAACAAAAATCAAAAAAAAAAAACAGCTGGAGAGACGGGGAGGGCGACACGTGACAAGAAAGCGAGAACCTCCACGACATCGTCCTGCGAGGAAACATCGCCGACGGGACCGCTGCACTACATTATAATAAAGGTTATCGTCACCGTAAAGCAGCGTCAACACTACATCTAATTGGACCCCTCCGCCGTGCCTGCTCCCATCATTCATAGTGTGCGGTAAATCTGAATCCATGTTGGGTGTGGGTGTGATTAATTAAGATGGAGGCGCAGCGCGTAGAACCCAGCTCTATCCGAATGTCAAAGCAGAACAGATTTATTCCTCTGTTCCTCCTCTGTCTCGTTGACTGACTCTAAAAACTCCTTAAAGACATCAAAGCAACTACAGGGAATGTGTTTGCACATCTTTGTTTGAAACATGTATCTGTAGACATTTCTACTTTTTCTGAGTGGTGAGGGAATGAGTCCCATGATTGAGTGAGCATCTTACCACTTTCAGTTCCCTCGTCTCAAAGTCAACTATTTATGCCTGAAATAAGGTTTGTGGCTAACACAAGCTTAGGAGATGTTCATGTTTTGTTCGACGTCAGAGAAATACCCCACTCATGAATAGCCAAACATTTTTTGATTATAAAAACAGTTACTGACAAAGTGACCAAATGAGGCTGCTTAACATCATCACGCCCCACACAAGTCTGCCTTCAGCGTTGCGGTGCTGATGTGACCTTGATGCAGTCTGTTTATAGCCTAACGTTCTTTATTTCTGGCAATTGCATTATGCTTCAAATATAACAAAAGTGGTGTTAATATCTGGAGAATTATCATAAACGTTTGTTAGCCAAAGGTCTTACTTTATGCAATATTCCAAAATACGATGGAACAATCCCATTGGTTTTTGGCAAAGGAACCCTTGCTATGCTGACTTCTGGTTCGGCCTACAAGAAAGCGTCAAAACTGCACTACTCTGACGGCTAACAGTTATATTAATGTGTGGTCAATCTACAGGTGTAACTTGTGGGGAGATAATGTGTTTGGTCATTTGTGTGTTTGTGCGAGTGGGTTATGTCTTAATATATTTTAAAACGTATATTTATGGGTGTATCTCTAAGACCTTCTGTAGCTGCAAGTATCTGATGTCAGCACTTAAGGTGTTAATTGAAAAATCGCCATCTTAAGAAGTACAATTATTTGTGTGTAAGTGACATTAAAAGCATCTGCTACCTTTTCCTGACTTACTAAAATAACCACCAAGCCTCCAAGCTCTTCAATGAGACAACTGTAAAGTGTTTTACTGGATACACACGCTGTTGTCAGGTGTGATCCAGCAGCATGGGAGAATGCCAGGTGTTAATGCCAGGTGCACATGAACAAAAAAAACACATAAGAGGGTGCACAGACACACATGCTGATGTGAGACAATAATAACAATACACATGCATAAGCAATGAGGGAGCCCAGTGGTTAGCCATGGTGCCACATACTTGTTTGGGAGCTTCAGAAGCGGTGGTGTGAGCGTCAGTACCTCTGTGGAGTCCGTTAAAATCATACCCAACTGTGGGGGGAGAAGGAGGATGGGGGGGGTGGGAGGAAAAGGAGGAGGAGGGGA